CAAGCACGCATTGTACTTTACAATGACATTGGGAAGGTAGGGGGAGAGAATGCCGAAGCCAACCCGCAGGTTTGAGGAGCAACCGAGGGAGTGCTGGGATTGTGGTAGTCGGGGGTGCTGAATCGGTGATATAATCACACGGTTTGGTTTCAGTCTTGAACGCTATCATCACCGCTCCAAGCTGCATTTCAAGGTTACCGGTTACACTGCTGATGGAAATCAAAGTGCTCGAAAACGTAAAACTGAACAAGCACGGTACCGTTGGCGTTGGACCAACTTGGTGATGCAAATTGTCCCGCAACTGTCTGATTCATAGTTAAGCGCCACTGCGCATAACAATACTGTCTGGTTAATATTCGCCAAATAATAATCACAGGACTGGAATACTAAGAATCAACTGCCACTGATTTGGCTGATGGCCTGCAGTGGCATGGCAATCACTGTCTGAATCTGTCAACAATGTTAAACTGTGATGTTGTGAAGCTGAGCAAGTGACTGACAACATGGGGCATCCCTTGTGAAACAAATTGCCAGCACACAAGGACCCAACAGAACTGGCTGTTTGCAAGAGACTGTCTGATAAGTCTGAACGCTCTCCCAACTTGGACACTTCAAGTTGGTACCTTTGATGAGTATGCATCAGATATTATAAAACACTGTTACCAGCCTGTGTGAAACTTAATAAGTCAAGGTGAGCGCTGGTATGTCCTTCCTTGCACGTAATTGACATGAAGAACACCCCAAAACCATTCATGTTTTAGATGTTCTTCATGTCACTTACGTGGGAGGAAGGACTTTTGGGGTGTCAACTACGTGCAAGGAAGGTAAGAGAAGGCATGGTGGGAAGAATTGTCAGAATTCTGGATGCTTATTACGTGTCAAATGTGGATAAAGATACTGATTATGACTTTGTAGTATTTGTCAATTACGTGCAAGCAAGGACACGACTCACACACAAGGAAGCCTCGTGAAGTAATTTGAAGAATCTAATAAATAATATTTACACAATGCAGCCTTGGAGCAACGTGTCTGAGTGCTAATTCTTGGTGATATAGGAGTGTGTAGGCGCAAAGGTTCTATTCAGTTTATACTCTCCGCTACTCCGCTAATGCATGTCAGCCACATGTCAAGAACATAAATTATTGGCTGCGACGGCCTCAAGTCACGCTTATCAACCGAACTAGATTTTTCGGTTCAGAATTCATCACAAATGTTTCCTCCAGATTGATCGGCATCTCCCAGGACTCGCCTCATCACAGAATTGCTCGTCGCACTTACCCAAATCGTGTTCAAATTGCATATTCTCATCATGCTGTCGATCTGTGGTTTTGGGATAGGTTACTACCGAATCTATTCAATCAAACATGTAAGTACTGCGCCTTGGTCCGCAATGGTGTGGTGGCACCACCAGTGGTTCTGCTTGCCAAACTTCATGTCTACACTGCCTACTGTCCGATGGATGGGCATATAAAACTGTGAGTCTATCCTCATGAATTCCCGCAATTAGACCCTACTGCATACCACCTCCCCCCGGCTCTTGTCCTTCAACTGGAAACCATGGTAAACAGATGGCTCGTGCCAGTCAACCAAGATGTTCTCGACGCCGATGTCTGCTGCACATCCGCCAACCCATCCACTAGTTGCTCCTGGCATAGTGGCCCAGTGGCCCTTCACAGTACCCAGCACTACGACCCTGCGTCACGGGGCGCATTACCGATGTATGTCCTTCGCGCCATATGGTTTGACTTTCTCGTAATCACCCTTATATGCAGGTGGCCGGACGTCCGAGCTCACCATTCGAATTCCACCAATCCTATCATGTTTAACGAGCCGTCGTATCAGTGGCAGATTTTCGCCATCCCTCCTTCGAGCGAGCCACTCTCAGCTACTATACCTCCACATTTAGCTGTCGAATATAGCTTTTCATCGCAGCCTCATATTGAAAATTTACATGATTTTTCAGAATATCTACCCACCACCCACCCACATTTCTTCCTGCCTCATAGCCGTCACTCATCCCCGCTCCTGCCATGCAAATGGCTACACGACGACGCACTCCGGATGTGCGGATTCCAAGGAACTCTAGAGGCGCTAAAAGTGCACTGCCATCAAACCCACTTCAATGCTGGTCCCCCAAACGCGCAGATAGAGTGCCGCTGGGACTATTGTGATTATAAAAAACGTTCGAACTCTGCAGTACGGTCTATGCGGCGCGACTGTATGTGGCGCCACACGTGTGAAGTTCACTTGGGAATGAAGAGAGTCACCTAGGCGAGCTCACCCCCTTATATATCCTTGCTGTGCCATTGCTAGCTATGCTGCTATGATAGATCCTTATCAAACATTTGTCGTCAACTCTCATGTTATAGTTTTCTACGTTGACACCAAAAAATATTGGGTGATATTACAACGTGACATTAAGAATGAGGAGTCCGTTGTTAAAGAAACAGGCATAGGCCACACGGGTCAGTCGAAATTTTAAACGAGGCGCAGCAAGAAAAGAATTAATTAGATCACTGGCGCTGCTAGGTCGATTAGTTGTCGCTGAGTTGTAGGCTCCTGTTACCCTTTTGAAGTGCTTCGGCCCCAAAAAACAAGTACCTGCGTTACCTTGCAGCAGAACTTGCTGCAGAAGTCAAGACCTGAAGCAGTGTTCGGTAAGGTATTTTCTGCTCGTGTATAAGGTTAAGCATCTTACCATCGCGCATCTTCTACTTACCACCATGCCTGACCTGGAGTCTCCCGCCGCCTACTAGGCTACCACACCTGACCTTCAACCTGCCCGCCCCGATCCTGAGTATGACGACGATTTCAGCCCGAGCAGGCTCGTCAACACAAAGCAGAACCAGAGCTACAACCGTAGCACAAGTGCTCCTGCTCACGCACAGAAAATGTGTCTTCAAGCAAAAAAAAAATGAAGTAAACACATCTTTGCTTTTTTAAAGCTCGTCGAACTTAAAACGAAGGATCCAGAGATGGACAACAAGTCTAAGTCGTCGTAGTTATTTGGGAGTGCAAGGAGCTGATAGGGGTGGTACCAGCGCAGGCTCGTGTTCTGGGATTCTTGCCGATAATGATAATGACGCTGAGAGGTATGATCCTCCATAATACCTGGGGGAGAAACGGTTGAGGCCGGAGACTTGATACTGAATAACTCGGTGACAGGCCATCAGTGAACCGATGAGTCCTCGATATTCAAGTTGTAGCCGTGAAAACTGTAGAAGGATATCATTTGTCCCTGATATGCTCATATATACAATGAGAAATCTGATTTGTAAATACATAGTCATGGATGCCTGCAGATCCAGAGTGATGTGAACGGTTCTTGACGATGTGGCGACGTTCCTCCAGTGCAGCGGATGTTGAACGTTGAGGGATCCTACATAGCACATTTGTGCCCATTGTGTTCGTTTTGCTTTATTTATGCTTTATGTAACTGATCACTGATGCGGCCTGACCATCTTAATTATTCTAAAAGCACCATACATATGGCAATGGTCGACAACGATCTTCCACAACTGTCACATCCAGATGACTACCAACGGTATGGCAGACAAATGATACTCGACGGCTTTGGCTTGGAAGGTGGGCCAAAATTTGGATCCATCCAACTGCTCACGCAAAACCACCCAACAGGCCAGCTCAAACTACAGAACTCATCTGTCGTGGTTATCGGAGCAGGCGGGCTTGGTTGCCCTGCATTACAATATCTCGCTGCAGCCGGCGTAGGTACGTAGGCCCGATTTCAAACAACCATACAACCTCACGTTTGCCAGATAGGTCGCCTAGGCATAATCGACCATGACACGGTCGAACTGTCCAATCTCCAACGCCAGATCCTTCATACAGATAAAACGATCGGCAGCCCAAAAGCCGTATCTGCAGCCCAAGCCATCGCTTCTCTGAACCCACGCGTCAATATTGACGTATGTCCCACTGCTCTGGATTCATCCAACGCGCTTTCTATTCTCGCCCCGTACGATGTGATCCTCGATTGCACAGACAATGCTCCCACACGTTACCTCCTTTCTGATAGCGCCGTCAGGCTCAAAAAACCGCTCGTCAGCGGTGCCGCACAGAAATTCGATGGTCAGCTTTGCATATACAATCTGGGCGATGACGGTCCCTGCTACCGCTGCATATTTCCGAAGCCACCTGCGCCAGAAATGGCAGGATCGTGTGAGGAGACGGGTATACTAGGTGCTGTGACAGGTATCATCGGAAATCTACAGGCACTTGAAGCGATAAAGCTCATCACTGGTCTCCACGGTGAGTTGTACCAGCTGTTGTGAGGTTTGTAGTTTCTGAAAGATCGACAAGATGGCAAAGCTTCTTTACTACTTTTCAGCGCTCTATCTGTCCCTCCATTTCGCACCGTGAAGCTGAGATCAAGGAAGCCCACCTGCGCTGCGTGCGGGATCGAGGGCCAGAAAATTGGCACCATCGAAGAGACAGATTATGTAGCATTTTGTGGTGGCGCACGGCCGAATTGGTTAGAGCGTGGCCTCGAAGTTGGCAAGCCTGAATCGCGGATATACGTCAAGGAGCTGAAATCCGTCCTCGAATCAAGCATAAATCACACCATCATCGATGTGCGACCGAGAACCGAGTTTGGTATATGTCGTCTTCCGAGGTCTACAAGTAAGTGATTTCCAGGGTGGAGACAGTCATCTCACCAGCATATTCAGGTGTCCCGCTCAATGTCTTACTGGCTAACCCAACGCCTCATCTTCCCTCAGACAAGTCCTGTCAGGTGTTTGTTCTATGCAGATTGGGCAACGACTCTCAAATTGCTGCCGATGCCATCAGGGCAATAGACTCTAATCTGATTGTAAAAGATGTTGTCGGAGGCCTACGTGCGTGGTCAAATGAGATAGATTCCAACATTTCCTGTGTATTGAGATAAAGTACACTTGTTTCTCTTTCATGCGATGATCTATGGTAGAAGCTGGTAACTATACAGGTGGACCTCGAATTGAGATCCAAAATGATACACGTTTTCACTTTTCTAGAAATGAACATGATAAGAATGGGCAAACCAACAAGGCAATGATCCACGTACTTAAACCTGCCTTCAGCCACTTGGGTATCTTCTTCCCAGCACTTGTACTTGACGTTGTTGTGGGAGGTGTACTATCAGGCTTCTCCGCCTTGAGAGGCTCGGCGTCAGCACTGGGGGGTTTCGGTAGCTCGATCGCGTTTGCTAGAATGGATGGCAACAGGGGTGCGGGGACAGTCGTGCCTACGAGCTTCGTGAGGAGTAGTACATGACTTCACCGCGAATGGACCTACCATTCAAAGATTCATCTTCGAAACGCAGAAGAAGTACTGATGATGGGGCAAGATGCAGTTGTGCCAAGCTTAGATCACGGACATTTGGATCTGATACCTTCAGGTCTCGCTTGGGAGGAGATTGATCTATACATGATGTCAAAGGTCGGCCCATCGAAAACGGCCAACACACGAACATAATATGAACTTGATAGGTTTGACGTCATCCCGGAGGGACGAGCGCACAAAAGCGTACACAGAGCGAATTTTGTCCGTAGAGGGGAAAATCCTCTCCAGCTGTGTTCGATCAGAGAATCTGACACGTATCGTTGTCTGCGTGTATTCAGCCCAGATTCAGCTGACTCGGGACCGAAAAGACGCACATTGGGCCATCGATCTCTCTTTGACGTCTCTGCTGCCTCTCGCTGAGCTCGTACTTGTAGTGGGGCATCAACTAGTGATCGTGTCCGGGCGCTTAATGTTGCTTGGGCAGCCTTCAGGTCAGCAGGAGATGGGGTAAAGTAGGAGTCTGGCAGTTCTTCTACTGTAGAACTTGACGATGAGTTACGAGACAGTATTTCTGAAATGTGGTAACCCACAAGGAGCGCTGGTCGTTGATGAATTTGGAGGCTTATACACCTTAAACTCGGTCGCAGCAGTGTCTCCTGCACTGATGGAGCCTGATGTGGACGTGCCACTATCCTCCGTAGGCGTAGATAATTGTGAATTCTCAGTCATGGACTGTTGGACGTCAGGTTCAGAGTGGCAGATGACTGATCAAAGAAAAGGTGTATATTGGTACATTGTACAACAACAAATAAACGTTTCGCAGTCTTACAATCTACAGATACATCGGAAAGTCTTACAGAGGACCTGTGGATGGAAGCAAAGTCAGTATCCAGGTATTTCTTCTCAATGAAAGAGAATAAAAGATCAGAGGTTGCAGAAGTTGTCTCAGCTCACTCGCCTCAGGGCTGGCTGGCGAGCTAACCTTTTGGTGTAAGACGAGTGAATCGAACGCAAATTACTAATAGCATCATGAAAAAGAATGATGAACTGAAAACTTACCAGCTGCTATATCTGCGTCAAAAAGAAAATAGACGAAAGGAAGCTAACAAAACCAATTGGCCAAGCTGACTCAAGTTTAGCAGCATTGTTTGGGTCTATTTTGATTGGCTTACCTAGCCAATATGTAGGAGATCGATGATATCGATAACTGCTTGTCTAAGACATTGTTTCCTCATGTCACACAATCATCACGACGGACATTGCAGCCACGAGAGCAACGACAACGACCATGACCATGACCATGATCACGGTACCAGCGACCTTGGCCCAAATGATAATCTGTTCCCGCACATTGACCGCGCCAACGTTGTCGCACTCAACGCCACAAGGGAAGGCTCAGTTGCTGTTAAACCCTGGGATCAGAGGAACAACGAGGAAGCTGTATGTCATGTCTTTCATACATGTCTCATGTTCAGGAACTGATCATCTTAAAATCATTTCTAGTTTTTGGAGTCGGATGCTGACGATCAGCTGTAAGGTCTCGCTGAATCGAGATCTCGACATTATGCAGCTCAAATGACATTCTATTGAGAATTTTACGTATCCCTTTCACCGGATCTGTCAAGCTTCGGTCTTTACTTTTGAAGACGGGCCCGGCTGACCAGACCCCAACAAAAGTTGCTTTGGTTGGTCTAAATCCTTATTTATTGATATGTTGTTCACGGCCCATGTGTAGTTTTCGAATCAGCCCAGCATGGATTTCAACGACGTTTCTGACAAGGTGCCTGTCCAAGAATTCGATATTCCTCAGGACAGGAATATTGCGGAGTACGCTGTCAAGTACAACTATTCTGTCTCTCTGCGAACATCGTGTTGACATCAACCCTCCAGGACGGCAAAGTTCAACAACGTGTCTTCCTTGACGTTATTCTTTCCCGCCTCACAGGGTGCGGATACGACAAGGATTTATTATGTCGGTCTCCTTGGTCATTGGACTGAGGTATGCCAGTTCCCGAACCACTGTTTTCGATTCTCAAGACTTGTTCATTTTCTCAGCGCAAGAGCGAGCCAGTCATCACTATATATGAAACTCAGGCTAATCTTGCCGATCACGAAAAGATTCAGGGAACAAACGATAACTTCAATACAACGCAATCCTAATAAAATGCAGATTCCCTATAACATAACTACCATGCGATAAAACAGTAAGGTTCTTGGTGTGTGTGTGTGTACAAAATAGCATGCAAGTGCATATGATGTATAGTGGAGCATAACAATCAATGTAAAAGTCTGAACCCACGCTTGACATCGCCTATATTCACAGTATATCCATCATTTTGTTCTCGAGGAGCAAACAACGCCTTGAAGAACCATGCTCCAAAGCCGACGAAGTAATTGAGATGGTCTAGTCAATCACGAGGGGTTCATTCCTTGTCCATTCGCATTCCGTTGCATAAACGACTGCATCATCTCGCTATTCACTGTGGACGCCACGCCGCCAAGATGCATGCCCCCACTGATTTGCCTCTGCGGTACCCCGCCACCGCCCTGTTCATGTCGATTGTTAACATATCCTCACGCACGCGCACCATATAACAACTCACAAACATATTCATTGACATATTCGCTCCATTCGAAAATGGACTCATATTTTGCATTCCCACACCTGGTACTGGTGCTTGTACCTCCTGCTGCATTGCCCCCGCCTGTAGTTGTTGGTGCTGCTGCAGTTGTCGTTGCTGCTGCCGGATCTGCTGCTGGAGTACGAGTTGTTGCATGAGGTGCCTTTGCTGCTGCGGGTCAAGGCCCTGAAGTCGCGTCATCATCTCAGGGGTGAAGCCACCTGGGGGTTGTAATCGTGGTTGCGGTTGTTGTAGTTGTTGTAGGGGTAGTTGCAGTTGTGGTTGTGATTGTTGTTGCAGTTGCGGCTGCGGTTGCGGTTGCGGTTTTGGAACGTCAACTTTGCTAGAGCCTGGCAGATCCGGAAGTCCCGTAACAGGGAACGCTGCGCCTACTAGCTTGTTACTCATCGGGAACACGATCATATTCTGTGACATAATCCCAGAAGGAAGTTGCCACGCCACTATGCCAAACTGAATATCAAAGAATATCAGTAGGAACGACAGAAAGCGATAATGGATGGAACACTCGCTGTTCGTGCTTCCATCAAGGTCTTCATTAACACATTATGAACCATGTCATTCATTTTCTGTTCAATATTCCGTGCTTGAGGCTTGAAATGGACCATCACAGAAGATTGGTGGTGTTTCTGAAGCCACAGCTTTAATTCCGAGGGATCCTTCAGTCCTTCTTTTGGTATATTAATGAACATCCTCTCGGGCCATGTTTCCGTGTGGCTGCACAAGAAATTAGTACTAAACCATAGAAACTGTTCGATGACATACAGTTGACCCTTAGAATTCATAAGGCCGGCCACCTGCACTTCGAACCCCTTTGACTGTCCAGCATGCTGTATAGTGAAGGTGAAAGAGCCCTCCCATTGCTTTGGCCCTCCTGAGATTGCCGAGGTTGAGACCTGGGGCTGGGACTGGGGCTGGGGCTGAGACTGATGGTGAGATGTAGATCCGGAGGCAGCCGGATGGGCTGGTCGGGGCTTAGGTGAACCGGAAAAGGTTGGTCCTTGGATGCCAGTCTTGTTGAGCAACTTGTGCATTTGCGCCGCGACCTCTGGATTCTGGAATCCTGTTGTTCCCAAACGCGCCTGCTGCATGAAGTGCATTAGTGCCTGCTGATCAGTTAGCTGAGGCTTCTGATCTGTGACCGGTGGCTTCTGCTCCTCCATAGGCGCAGATACGGGAGCAGACACCGTTAGCGGTACTGCACCTTCCGACTTCACGTTGCTGGTCGCCAGTTGAGGCTGAGACTGAGACTGAGACTGAGACTGAGACTGAGACTGAGGCGTTTCTCCCGAACCCCCTGCACCTGGATTTGAACCGCCCATCGCAGGCCTATTCACCATTTGATACAGAATAGCCTTGATCCTCATCGCCTGCTGATATTTTACGGAGCGATCCATCTTAAGCGACTCCAGATCTGCAGCGTTCCCGGCAGATTGTACTTCTTGGATTCTAGCATCGAGGGCTTTAATCTCGACTTCGAGAGCTTTTCCGCGCTCGACTACCATGTTGACGTTGGGGGGGAATGTGTGTTGCATGGGTGGTGCATTGGGGTTCGGAGCATTGGAAGGTGGGTGTGCGGCAGGTGCAGCAGGGGGTTTTGCAGGGCTAGGTGCAGATGCCGTGGTTGCGTGCGGAGGTATGGGGGAAGGCTGGAGCATTTGCGGATGTGGTTGAGGTAAAGCAGAAGGTGTGATAGAAGGTGTGGGAACCTGCCGAGAAGGTGGTCTCTGGCCTACTGAACCGGCACCTCCTCCAGGAGGACGCGGGCTAAGTGCTGGTGAGCTTTTCTCGCCGACCTTCTGTCGTTTTGTATCTGGTGTTTGAGGAGACTCATTTGAACGCTTTGCAGCGTCTTGAATTTGTGAGCGCGGGAATGGGAGAGAGGTTGTTCGTGAAAGCTCACTGATTTTTGGAGTCTGCACATGCGACAGTGGGGGAAATCCAGAAAGCTTGAGTATATGCGGTGGGTGGACAGTGAACCAGGGATTGGTTTGTGGAGTTGATGATGAGGTCTGAGGAAGAAGAAATTTTAATGACAATGCTACGGACATGAATGTGAACTGACGGCAGACTGAACATCCTGGAACTGTTGTATTTGTTGTAGTGTGACAAGACTCAGATTAATTTTTCTCTACGAGGCAGGTCAAGACCACGAGAAAAGTTGATTCAAGGATGCTAACCTTCTTGAGTTCTATCGGTAGCGTGTCCCATGTTACTGAGTCTAGATACGGAAGGGTATTACATGTGGGCCTTTGCGCAGAATCGGGTGGACGTCCAGCGATATGTATTATATGCGATACGTGCATTCGACCATCCTTCGGACCAGTCCAGGCGGGTGAGTTATGCAAGATGTCAAAGAACTTCCATCACAGCTTAGAGTGAGAAGTGGGTCAAGACATGGTAGTACTGGTACACACCTCAATAGCAGCAACCATTCCCTCCAGTGCTGATAGTCCCCTTGAACCGTTTACTGAACCGATTCCTAACTTCCTAGGATCCTCACGCAATTCCTTCATCACGAAATTCGGGGAGAAAAAGAAACGTTTTGATAACAGGGGATTGGGATATGTATCCGCAGCGCCATATGTCACTAAAGCTAGTCGGAACTAAACACATCGCCCATACAGGCCCGTACTCAGCATGATACTTGTCAGAAGACTGATCCAGGTAAAACGCACATTATGCCCGCTGTATGTTTCGTTCAAACGCTTGAGAATCGGCAGGATGTACGCTGTGAGCACACGAGACCATTCTATGGCAAGTGCTAGGGAGGCATCGATGACACAGGCGACGGCAAGAACTTCCTGAGCTGCATTGGGCTGAGCTTGGACTTCAAGTTGCGATACTTGTTGCTGCGATTGCAACTGATTGGACATGGGAGAAAGTTTGGGAAAAGCGACGATCACAGCTTGCGTTCGAGGAGTTCCAAGGTCCACAACGAGCCCACAACGAGCCTACAACGATGTCAAACAGAATATCGCGGAGTCAAATTATGATGGAACGTGGTTTCACGGGGATTTCGATGTTAGTTCGGTCGCGCGTTCCTAGATTGAGCATGAAGCACTACTTGATCACCCCTTCGGGTACTACTAGACAAAGTTTTCATTTGACATTTCAAGGGTCCAAACAATGGTATCAAGCTAAATAAGTACTGTTGTCGACAGACGAAGGGGACAACAGACTCCAGGGTAACTAAAGTAACCAGAGATAACATGTAACGAGTGTCTATGTAGGGCGACACAGCGATGTGCCCAATCACACATCAAGAGTCCATCTACTCGACTGTCCTATCGGTTGTCCTTCGACTCACATAGGTATAAAACGTGCGCCTTATAATATTATGAAGTATGCACCACCGCCGATGCCCAGCATCGTGCTTGCTACCAGTCCATACCAACCGCTGGAGACTGAGAATACCCGGCGGGTTGCACTAGATGTTGCTGCCGCGCTCGTACCGACTGAAGCCAGATACGATGAGTAGTTGAGGATTGTGCCGGTGGTTGATGGGGTTGGTAATACAGTGGCAGGTCCTGTAGGTGTAAAGGTTGCTAGCACGGCGACTGTAGAGCCAGCTGCATTCGTTGTGGTGTAAGTATATGGGGTAGGTCCCCCTGGTGTTAGAACTGTTGTTCCGGGTTGTCCTACAGGACCTTGATTCGGTGTGGTGGAAGTAGTCGCTATGGTTTGGAGTGTCCCAGGAGTAGTAGTGCTAGTAGTAGTTGAGAGGGTATTCGTAGTAATGGTCTGCCTACTACATTATGAGCATGTACTTTAAAGCTAAATTATAAACGACGCTTTCACTCACAGTGTTTGTGTTGTAGCAAGACCGTTAACGGGGTTTGTTGTAACAACTTCCACAACTGTAGCACCAGCGCTGTTCCAGTAAGACAGAAACTCGGTGTAGAAAGGGCTGATAATCATACATATTGGTGGTAGTCAATGTCTGAGCATGCACCCACGATGCCCACAAGGCGATGATAGCTAGTATAGGGCTCTTCATCGCGTTTTTTAACAAGAAAGATGCGCTTGTCGTTGTCTGGGATGTGAGCCGCAGTACTTAGGTATCAGCCCATCGGCAGGACAACCTTCCATATTTGAATATGTCCTGCCGACTGCCGTGAGAGTTCCATAAAAGGACGATTTCCCCCGAATTTTTCTCGTTCTTGCAGAGCTCGTGACTGGTTTTTTTTGGGAGATGATAGATCGATGGCGGCAATTCTGCCTGCATCGTCTTCCCCGTACATCTACTGTGTCTTGTTTTATTTTTCTGCGACCGTTTTCTGTGTCGCACACTCTCCAAGCTAAGAAGAAGAAAATGCCTCCCAAGAAAGCTCCTGCCGCAGAGAAAAAGGTATTGCTTGGTCGTCCAAGCAATAACTTGAAGATCGGTATCGTCGGTATGCACTTATCATCCTACAATCGAATACATACTCAATTACACTCCGTATAGGTCTTCCGAATGTTGGAAAGTCATCTTTCTTCAATGTTCTATCCGACACCGGTGCGAATACAGCTCTTTGCAGTCACGCATGCGAGTCTTAAATATTTTAGATTTGGGAAAGGCTGCCAACTTTCCATACGCAACAATTAACCCAGAAGAAGCGCGTATCCCCGTGCCGGATGTGCGTTTCGATTGGCTTTGCGATCTGTATAAGCCCGCCTCGCGCGTGCCTGCTTTCCTCACCTGCATTGATATTGCAGGTCTTACTGCGGTACGCCCATGACCCACGTAACCTGATTTCCCCACCGATATATTTCTAGGGTGCATCAACAGGTGCAGGACTTGGAAATGCATTCTTGTCTCACGTCCGCGCTGTCGATGGTATCTTCCAGGTCGTCCGTGCCTTTGATGACGCCGAAGTCATCCACGTAGAGGGTGACGTTGATCCTCTCCGTGACATGGAGATCATTCAGACCGAACTTCGCCTCAAGGATATTGAGTGGGTCGAGAAGCATCTTGATGGTCTCAAGCGTACTGGCCGATCGCTTGGCAACAACAGTTTGGCGGATAAGGCTAAGAAGGAAGAAATTGTGCGTCTCTCTCGAAACACTGTTTGGCGTGTAGCTGGTACGGATTCACGCTATAGGCAACAGTTGAGAAAATCTACAAGGCCCTTACTGTCGATGGCAAGGATGTCAGAAAGTGCGAGTGGAACAACAAGGAGGCAAGTCTTTCTTGTTATTTTTTTTGGCCAGAACTTTAGTTTGTATCCTGATGAAAAAGAGCCTTTGCTCGATAACCCAGCTCGTTGAGGAGGGAGTAACGCCCCAGTATTCCTTTGAGATCACTTTTTTTTCTGATTCCTTGCCATCGTAATCTTCGTCTATCATACTGACTGTCATCTTACAGGTAAATATTCTATTTTCGTTGTCGCTTATAAGCGATGAAAAAGAGCATTGCTCGATAACCCAGCTCGTTGAGGAGGGAGTAACGCCCCAACATTCCTTTGAGATAACTATTTTTTCTGATTTGCTCATTGTCTTCCGCAATCTTTCTGCATGCTGACCATTGCCTACAGGTAAATATGATATTCTTGTCATCACTTTTGAACGATGAAAAAGAGCTTCGCTCGATAACCCAGCTCGTTGAGGAGGGAGTAACGCCCCAACATTCCTTTGAGATAACATGTTTTTCTGATTCCTTCTTTGTCATCTGCGGTCTTCATCTACTATACTGACCATGATCTTACAGGTAAATACCACATTCTCGTTGTTGCTTTTGGGCTGTCGTGGTGCAAAGAGCACTAGCTCGATTATTTCACCTCTTTGAGGCGGGAGTGACGCCCCATCATATGATATTTGTTCGACCCTGAATTTCACCAACTTTCTGGTTTCTTGATGCACGCTAATACCTACCGTAGATCGAGGTCGTCAACAGCCTTACCCTACTGACCGCCAAGCCCATCACTTACCTCGTCAATCTCAGCGAGAAGGACTATATCCGCAAGAAGAACAAGTGGTACGGCTTTTATCAAATACCATTTGTCACCACAGCCCACACCCGTACACAGGTTAGCCAAGATCAAGGGCTGGATTGACGCACACAACCCCGGTGACCCCCTCATTCCATTCTCTGTATCACTGGAAGAGCGTCTCGCGCAGCTTCCAGACGATGAGCGTGCTGAGGCTCAAAAGGAACCAGGAGCACAGAGTGCGCTCGGGAAAATAACACAGGCAGGGTACTCAAGTCTTGACGTGAGTCTTATCCGCTGGTCGCCAATCGCTCATTGATCCGAATTTTTAATCATAGTTAATTCGCTACTTCACCTGTGGACCTGATGAAGTGCGCGCATGGACGATTCGCAAGGGGACAAAGGCACCTCAGGCGGCTGGTGTTATTCAGTGTGCCAATTTTTATTTTTATTTTACCCCGTCTCACACTTATGTAGCTCGGACTTTGAGAACAAGTTCGTTTGTGGTGAAATCATGACGTATGAAGACCTCAAGGAGTATGGAAGCGAAGCTGCTGTCAAGTCTGCAGGTAAACTGAGACAACAAGGCAAGCCTTATGAGAGTAAGTTCTTCCAGTCGTTTCCTTGAAACAATCACTGATGGACGGCTGGCAGTGGTGGACGGAGATATTGCTTACTGGAAATCTGGTTAATTGGACGGATGGTCAAGAAGTTAGGGCTGCTGTACGCTGCATACATACTTGTGCTAGATGAGGCAAGTAGGATGATCGGATTGTTCAATGATTGATGTTTTGTGAAAGATCATAATGTCACATTGGGGTCGCGTCGCTTCTGCTAGTCGGTATGTCTGCCTTTGACGCAGATGTGGCGCTGCACCGAGGCATGCCTCGTTAGCGTTTGTGGTAACAAAGTTCGCAAATGTGACAGAGACGTGTGATTGTTCATAAGGTGATGCATGTTGATGCGGAATCGTGGAGCCTAATTGTGCCAGACGCTAATAACAGTCCAAATGCATGTGTTAGATAGAATGGAATGGCCAGGAAAAAATCTGGTCATTCGTAACAATGAGGGACCCCATGGCATGTGAAAATCAGGATTCAAGTAAAAATCAAGGCGACTATAACTCTCCATTTCGGATGATTCAGTTACTACGTATATGTAGGGCCCTACTAGAAATTACTAGTATGGTGGATGCATATATATGCATACCATGATCAATTCTGCTATACGAGTAGTCGGTGGGTAAAAGCATGCATGACGTAATACTCAGTCCTCATTTCAGTATCATATCCGGATGGAGGACGCCATGGATATCCATCTTTCAGAAGTTTTTTTGTTTTAGATTCAAACTTGTAAGGAGCGGCATTTTGAATGCCAACGACGCCATGAAATGAGCACGCGGAAGCCATTGGGAGCGAAATGAGAGTGAAGAAGGCGTTCAAGTAGCGCGCGCACCGGGAGGGGCACAGGCAAGTTAAAAACAGATCAAGACTGGTACTGAGAGGCAAGTAATACACACTAATAGTACGACTATGACATCCCTGACAGTCACAACAACTGTGTTCTCCAGTCAATTCACCGTCCTCACTCCTCCTCGCTGTCCTCCTCGCTATGTCTCCCTCGTCCCTCTCGTGTTTTGACGTGCGTCTACGCCTGCTTGCCGACGTTCTTGAAAACCCGCAGCGCGCGCCGTCATCGCTTGAACGGCGGCAGAAGACAAAGGAAGGGACGGTATTTTGGGGAGCGACGGGCTAATTATAAGAACAGAGCCAGAGGACGTCCGCACGCATGGCCCTCAGGCCGCAGAGAACCTTGATGTCGAGATACATGACGAGAGCTGCCACCGCCCTCCTCTTTATCGATCGGCATCTCTACAAACGGGGAGGATCAGGAGGCAAATCTCATTGTGGATGGCGGGCGAGTGTCCCTGTTCTTATGCTGTCTGTCACGCGTAGGGTTGCATATTGATTCATGCGTCTAGGACAAGATCTGGCGATGGTCGCGCCTTGTCTGAGCTAGTGCTGGCCTCGTCCCGCGGCACGTACTACGGATATTGAAGACTTGCGTGTGTTTGGAATTCGCTGATCGAGAGTTATTTTTTCTTGCCTCACGTTCATGGTACTCAACCACACGCGCGTGATGTGCCGCGGCAGACAACAATGATGCATACTTGTACAAAAAAAACATGAAATAGCGAACTGCAGCCCATTCTCCGTGACAGTTGAATGTCACTTTCGTCAACCAGAACATATTCATGAGGCAGCTAAACGAAATCCTTCAGGTGCGTGCTCATTCATCCTCAGCTAAGATCTGATCTGTGGGCGTCCACAGCTGCCTCTCAATGAGCTTTCCCGACTGGTTAGCGAGTTTGACCTGCAACAAGCGTCAGGAACAGTGCAGCATCACAGCCAATGGGCCACGCAACTGATTTATCATCTTCAAGTTCCACGGTATAGCTACCAAGTCCGCCGGGGACTTGGAATCTGCACATCATCGTCAATAGATAGGCCTTGTCTGAAGCACAGCCTGACAACACGCACCCGACATTTATGCCTGTTCTGATGGCATTCCACCAATACACTTTGGTGTTCATGATGGGTTTCATGCTTGACTGCAGATTTGTGCAAAGAGGTGAGATTCGAGTCTGAACCAGTTTCCTCAGACACTTACGTCTGCCCCCAAGTAATGTCCACTGTCGCTGTTCTGGAGCGTGCACTGAAAGGGCTCTTCACTTGTATAATGCGCGTTCCACTGTTGATATTGACATCAATCATCAGCGTCAGGGTCACGACTTCGACTGTAGCTGTATGCTGACCAACTGCTTCTGGTTGTCCTTTTCGTAGGTCTGGCCTTCGACGATCTCGACCGCACCATCTTTGCGGATCCCCAACACGAGTGTTTTGTCCTGGGCATTCACAAGGTAACCGCTGATGGGCATGATGATTGAGATTTGTTGTTTAGAAGGCAAGGAAGAAAATGCGAGATGTGAGTTGGTCTTCAAACCCAGGATCGCAACACCATTATTTATATGCGCATTCCTCAGGGCATGCACTCGGCGAGGACATTCTGCCGTCCCGGGCAGCACGTGCGATCCTTTACGAGCGCCATGTAGTCAATGCCGAGAAATTCGAGTAACGACACGAGTTTCGGTGGCCTGTTAGTATCGGTTGAACCTTAGTACTTGGTTCTTTTGATTCTCTCCGAGTCCAAACTTTGCACCATCAATTACGAAAACCCTTCTGACATTCACACTCTACTCAACATGCTCGCTTCTGTTTAGTGTGTCGTGTCGAGTGGTATGTAACGGTCTTTCATGCTAACACACCTTTAGACACTCTGACCGGCTTTTCGAAACACCGTCAGCCAAACTTCACCAAACTCCTATGCTTTGGAGCGAATGAAATTTTTTCGAGAATGGAAGCAAAAGACGCAGTTTGTGATCTTCCCATCTCCGTTTTGACTTTCGGCGGAGGCAATGCTCCACCTGAAGATGGTATCTATTTCGTGATTGCTTGCATGATCACCGCAGCCACAGGTGATGACACCACTTCAGAGCTTTATTGTGTCGATGCGAGTCTGCTTACCGACGAGTGCGTGCTTCAGCCAGTATTCGTGTCTTTGCAGGACATGCGACCCATCGACTGCTGAGCTGGGAGAAGACTTCTTGGGCGATAGACAATCTCTCGAGCTCATCCCTTGTATTTCTAGCCTAGAGACGCGCCATACATACTAAGCGACGGTGCAGAATCATACTTGAGTTCAGATGCTGTCAAGGAAGCAGACCATGCTCCTCCTGATGTCCCTGAGCAAACGTCAGACTATCTTATTGAGCAGTATGTAACTGCCTTTCATACTAATACACCTTCAGACACTCTGACCGGATTTTCAAAACACCATTAATCAAACTTCACCAAACTCTTGAGTCTTGTGCTTTAAGGAGCTAAGGAAATTTTTTTGGGGTTTCATCGCACTCTTGCGCGATTCTAGTGCCTCGCTACTAGCTAGAAACACCAAACACCCTTGGCCTTGAAAGGACAACCAACCACGACAGCAAGGCGGTCCACCCACCCTCGCAGATCACCTTCTGTTTCCCCAGGACACAGTCCCATCGGAGCTGGCAGGCACTGTGCGCCTTCACCCGTAATTTCTCTCCAAGTCTTTACCATTAAACTACACATTTGCATCGTAGTTCACGGTAGTCAAGTTTAAATATCCATTTCTTCATCACCGCGCGAGAGTGTCTAAAGGTGTATTAGTATGAAAGGCTGTTACATACTGCTCGACATGATACACCAAACAGAAGCAAGCATATTGAGTAGAATTTGGGGTCTTTTCGTTATGAAGGTGTTCATCTTCGATGGCGCAAACTTAGTTTGGACTTGGAGAAAATTAAAAGAACCATTTACTGTGTGGCATTTGTACAACATCGCACGTGGTGTCACGAGTCTACCTTTATGTTAGACACTCTGATACAGGCTTCACATTTTCAAGAAGTGAACCCCAAAAAAATTTCCTTAGCTCCTTAAAGCACAAGACTCAAGAGTTTGGTGAAGTTTGGTTAATGGTATTTTGAAAATCCGGTCAGAGTGTCTGAAGGTGTATTAGTATGAAAGGCAGTTACATACTGCTCAATAAGATAGTCTGACGTTTGCTCAGGGACATCAGGAGGAGCATGGTCTGCTTCCTTGACAGCATCTGAACTCAAGTATGATTCTGCACCGTCGCTTAGTATGTATGGCGCGTCTCTAGGCTAGAAATACAAGGGATGAGCTCGAGAGATTGTCTATCGCCCAAGAAGTCTTCTCCCAGCTCAGCAGTCGATGGGTCGCATGTCCTGCAAAGACACGAATACTGGCTGAAGCACGCACTCGTCGGTAAGCAGACTCGCATCGACACAATAAAGCTCTGAAGTGGTGTCATCACCTGTGGCTGCGGTGATCATGCAAGCAATCACGAAATAGATACCATCTTCAGGTGGAGCATTGCCTCCGCCGAAAGTCAAAACGGAGATGGGAAGATCACAAACTGCGTCTTTTGCTTCCATTCTCGAAAAAATTTCATTCGCTCCAAAGCATAGGAGTTTGGTGAAGTTTGGCTGACGGTGTTTCGAAAAGCCGGTCAGAGTGTCTAAAGGTGTGTTAGCATGAAAGACCGTTACATACCACTCGACACGACACACTAAACAGAAGCGAGCATGTTGAGTAGAGTGTGAATGTCAGAAGGGTTTTCGTAATTGATGGTGCAAAGTTTGGACTCGGAGAGAATCAAAAGAACCAAGTACTAAGGTTCAACCGATACTAACAGGCCACCGAAACTCGTGTCGTTACTCGAATTTCTCGGCATTGACTACATGGCGCTCGTAAAGGATCGCACGTGCTGCCCGGGACGGCAGAATGTCCTCGCCGAGTGCATGCCCTGAGGAATGCGCATATAAATAATGGTGTTGCGATCCTGGGTTTGAAGACCAACTCACATCTCGCATTTTCTTCCTTGCCTTCTAAACAACAAATCTCAATCATCATGATCATCAGCACTTACTTTGTGAATGTCCAGGACAAAACACTCGTGTTGGGGATCCGCAAAGATGGTGCGGTCGAGATCGTCGAAGGCCAGACCTACGAAAAGGACAACCAGAAGCAGTTGGTCAGCATACAGCTACAGTCGAAGTCGTGACCCTGACGCTGATGATTGATGTCAATATCAACAGTGGAACGCGCATTATACAAGTGAAGAGCCCCGTCAGTGCACGCTCCAGAACAGCGACAGTGGACATTACTTGGGGGCAGACGTAAGTGTCTGAGGAAACTGGTTCAGACTCGAATCTCACCTCTTTGCACAAATCTGCAGTCAAGCATGAAACCCATCATGAACACCAAAGTGTATTGGTGGAATGTCAGCGAAGCAGGCATAAACGTCGGGTGCGTGTTGTCAGGCTGTGCTTCAGACAAGGCCTATCTATTGACGATGATGTGCAGATTCCAAGTCCCCGGCGGACTTGGTAGCTATACCGTGGAACTTGAAGATGATAAATCAGTTGCGTGGCCCATTGGCTGTGATGCTGCACTGTTCCTGACGCTTGTTGCAGGTCAAACTCGCTAACCAGTCGGGAAAGCTCATCGAGAGGCAGCTGTGGACGCCCAAAGATCCGGTCTTAGCTGAGGATGAATGAGCACGCACCTGAAGGATTTCGTTTAGCTGCCTCATGAATATGTTCTGGTTGACGAAAGTGACATTCAACTGTCACGGAGAATGGGCTGCAGTTCGCTATTTCATGTTTTTTTGTACAAGTATGCATCATTGTTGTCTGCCGCGGCACATCACGCGCGTGTGGTTGAGTACCATGAACGTGAGGCAAGAAAAAATAACTCTCGATCAGCGAATTCCAAACACACGCAAGTCTTCAATATCCGTAGTACGTGCCGCGGGACGAGGCCAGCACTAGCTCAGACAAGGCGCGACCATCGCCAGATCTTGTCCTAGACGCATGAATCAATATGCAACCCTACGCGTGACAGACAGCATAAGAACAGGGACACTCGCCCGCCATCCACAATGAGATTTGCCTCCTGATCCTCCCCGTTTGTAGAGATGCCGATCGATAAAGAGGAGGGCGGTGGCAGCTCTCGTCATGTATCTCGACATCAAGGTTCTCTGCGGCCTGAGGGCCATGCGTGCGGACGTCCTCTGGCTCTGTTCTTATAATTAGCCCGTCGCTCCCCAAAATACCGTCCCTTCCTTTGTCTTCTGCCGCCGTTCAAGCGATGACGGCGCGCGCTGCGGGTTTTCAAGAACGTCGGCAAGCAGGCGTAGACGCACGTCAAAACACGAGAGGGACGAGGGAGACATAGCGAGGAGGACAGCGAGGAGGAGTGAGGACGGTGAATTGACTGGAGAACACAGTTGTTGTGACTGTCAGGGATGTCATAGTCATACTATCAGTGTGTATTACTTGCCTCTCAGCCTCGATCTCGCCTGTGTGCATTAGTGTTTTGTCGATCCATTTGTGTAAGTGTTGTGATAAATGTCATTGGGGTCGCGTCGCTTCTCCTAGTCTGTATTTCTGCCGTTGACGCAGATGCGGCGCTGTACTGAGGCGTGTTTCGTTAGCGTTTGTGGTAACAAAGTGTCAGAGACAAGTAATTGTTCACAAGGTGATGCAGTTGATGTGGAATCGTGGAGCCTGCCAGACGCTAACAACAGTCCGAATGCATCATGTGTTGTTATGGAATGGAATGGTCAAGTAATAATGAGGCGCCTTGGTAAGCGAGACTCAAGAGTCAGGTAGAAACAGAGACGATTATAACTCTCCATTTGGGATGAGTTACCCTCCTACGTATATGTAGGACACTACTGCACTGACTAGGATTGAAATCTCGCCTTGGTAATTACCCTCTTGTCATGTCAAGCCTGAGTATTGATCTTGTTCAACCAGATCTCACATGTTTTGTGTCCACCTTGTACATGCTGATGCATCTGGTGTATCTTCCACATCCTTGTATGCCCTTTGATGATACATGGTGCTGAGTTAACCCAGAGGTGAATACGTTGGAAAAAATGCACACATTCTCATAAAACCCCTCGAAACTGGAGAGACAAAGGTACAAGTAACTTCTAATGGCGCCTAGCAGATATGGAGACGGGGTACAACAAGTGGTGAACATGAAGAAAAATTTGAGAAGTACCATAAGAAAGATATCCATCAAGAAGACGACCTCTCTGACATGACCTCCTCCAGCTTGTACCTTCCTACGATAATATGGGTTTTGATAAATCCATCGAAAAACGCGATATAGGCGTCATATGCCTCAGGACGCGGTCTCAGGAATTCAAGGATATTATGATGTGCTTGCACAGTTTTCTCGATGAGTTCGTCGAGCGCGTCCTGTTTGGTAAGACTGCGAGAAGCTGCCATGAGCGACAGGTAGTTTGCGGAGTCGCCTTCAATCTCCTCTTTGTAGTATGACAATATATCACTGAATCGTGGAAGGTTAGAAAAATTAACAGAAAATCATCGACATGGCATAGTAGTCACTTTGTGTGGTTTAAGACTATAGCCAAATCCGGCATGCATTGAACGTATTCCCGAAGCGGGATTGTGGGAGGGAAAACGGAGTATGCGTATGCATAGGGCATGCCTGATAGCATCCTAGAATACTCGGGGTACGAGGGAGTCTTCCGTGAGATCTGTTCACACAAAGGGTCAAAGATCGAAGCTGTTTTCATTGAAAAACATCATACCGGCATATCTTTGGTCTCGTTGTCAAGTAAAGTGGAAGACAAACAGTCGAGTGCGGACGTAACGATAAAATTTGACGCTGGTGCAGAATAATGGCAAGCGACCTCCCGCAAGAGCTCGTCATAGGCATTCATAACTGGATGCCCCTGCGGTTGGCAATTCACGAACCGTTCGGTGAAACGATACATATGCACTATATATTCCTCCTTAAGCATCATGTCGTCGATGCAGGTGCCCACGGCAGTAAATAAGCACATCCACATCTGAGTTGCGGGGTCGGGGAGGTGGTCGTAAGCGTTGGACATCATGGCCACCCCAATGGCCATGTATGGGAGAATGTCGTCCATCGGATAGCCGCGCTTGATGGCCTCCTGAGAGCATTCGGAGTACCGCGCTTCGTCAAGTGTGATATTCTTATATTGCAAGCCGCAACGCCGAAGAAATTCGGCGACGGACTGGCAGATGCTTGCTAGAACCTATATTCGACATTAAAATCGAGACATGGAAGCGTATCAAAACACAAGCACATACTTCGACATCAAGGGTGGATGTAGATAGACAGTTCGTTGTCATCTTGAAAAATTGCTGAGAGATTGAAAGTTGGCGAGAGAATGGTTCCAATGGGTTGCATGTACACTGCATTTATACTCTATCACGTATGTCGATTGACGAACTCGTATGCGATGGAGAACCGTCCTGCGAGGCTACTACATGACATAACGGGGGTGCCGGTGAACGTTGATCGTTAATCTCCAGAGAGTTCACGCCTGATACCAACCTGATACGATCCCTTCGGAGGCGATAACCGGATCAGATGTTATCAGATAGGCGTAGATGTAGTCCTTTTGAGGTATCAACGTCTTACCTAGGTAAATACGCAAATAATTGTGTTATCTCCAGTCTCACTGGAGAGAGCGTAATTTTTTCGAGATTGCTGGGCCGTAGTGCTATCAGATATCAAAGACTGCGCACTCCAACGAGTCGGATGGTCATGATTCTGGATAGAAGTATGATAGGTCTACATGATGCGTGTATATGGCAAGGACGCCATAATTGCAGGTCCTTGCGACATGTAGTGGGTGATGCGACTCATGTTAACCGGTAGAGAGGTTAGACCGGTCCTTGACGAGCCTAGTCAGAGGTACTATATCGTAAAACAAAAATCGGCAGTGATGCGATTCATGCTAACCGGTAGAGGTTAGACCGGTCCTTGACGAGCCTAGTCAGAGGTACTATATCCAGCATAAGGCAAAGCTTGGACACTGTCGGTAATGATTAAAAGCCTGAACAGACGGGAAACGGTCATGTTTGACCCCGGGACCCAACACCTTTCAGTCCACCAAGTATTCGGAGCGAACATAGATGTTACTACTGCTCTCACAACAATCGCATCTTAAGCCAGTGCCGGCCCGGATGTAACACGTCCCTTCGAGGACACCGCCACACCAGTGTTCCAACCAATTCCGAAATTCGCCTACCCACCCAGATGATCCTCCCAATTAATTGTAGGGCATGCAGGCAAAGCAGAACGCACATGCAAACCTTCGACAACACAGCGCTGTAAAACCCGTAGAGGCTGGCAAGCCCGCCCGCTTTCAATATGCACACTCGTGAAGAGGTACTAGTAAGCATTGTCGTTGAGATAGCACGGAATCTTGAAGCATCCTTCGCGTGGACACCTCCGTTCTAGACCGAGCCTCCTGATACAATTGACCTTTTTTCTGGTCCAGAGAGTTTTTGCCTGACGATATTTCTGCTGAATTTGCGGTTCTCGAAGAGTTGAAGGGAGTTCAGAGCATTAAGAAGTTGAAGTGCTCGATGGGAAGTGCTTTTACATTACATATGAATGTTTGATGAATTTGATCAAGTGGACAAAGTTGGATAATATCACGGGCTATTCTAGATGAGGTTGGGATTACAATGTCGAGGATGATGGATGGGACGAGGCATGTTGATGTTATCGTTTAGTATTGGTTTAGTAAGAGAGCAACACACGCACGAGTCATAGATTGGTCAGTCCACAATATTGCATATAGCCTAGAGTTTTCCCACTGAGCTCTACCCCCTACACTCACCCCAGGATGCGGATCATGATGAGTATGTGTTTTTCATCGCGTGACATCGCGTTGCTAAATATTTTTCTTCATAAGCTAGAGTCCTAGACATGTCAAATGTCATGCGGGGCTGTAAAAGCATCTAGTGGACACTTATTGCTTGTTCCTCTATGGAGATCACATTTTGCTGTTAAAATGGCTTCTCAGACACAATGTGAACTCAAAGTACGTGGTTGTTGATGCGGCTTGTGATGAGTTGATGTTGGAACTTGAAGCAACTCGAAGGTTTCTGTTGTTGGGTCTGTTACAGAGTCAAACGAGAAAGCGGCTAGGGTTGCAAGTGGGCTGGGTCATGCTATGTATGTGGAGAGTGCTGGAGGTGAGCACTACTAGTACTTCAACGCGTCTCTTCAAGTTGCAGTACTTCCTGCTAACTGATTCACTCAGGCGTCAACAGCCCCGCTCTCCGGAACAACATAACTTGCTTCCTACCGCCCCCTCCTCCGATCCTCTCATTCCGGGACGAATACTACAGGAATTATATACACCTAACGCAGTATTTTGCAGAACCAGAGACGTATTTCGCTGCTCTTGATCCTTCTCAGGCTCCCCCACGCCTCGACTCCGCAAAGAACGTCCCAAATACTTCTCGATCTCGTACCAGACACCCTCAAAGGTGATATGTTCACCGCACTCGAACATCTAGACGAGTGTCACGCCAAACGCATCCAAGAACTAGACTCGATGCCTCGTTGTACGCTTGACGCGATCTGGTGGCCGGTCGTACAACGGTTGGTCGAGACGAAGGACGTTTCAGTCATTGACAGCGCATGTCAGATTTCTTTAGCACTCATGATGCTCCTTCCAGGAAAAAATTACTCTTGCGGCCAAAATCGCTATTGTAACCCCACCAGATGAGTCCGCTTCACAGTGGATATGCTCATCCGAAGTTGGCGCTCGTTCTATGAATGCGACAAGTTGTTGTTGTTGTCATGTCATATTCCCGCGGGCGATTCGTATTTCTACTCTAAAGCTTGCTGAACGCCTCTTATCAAGGATCGGGCAAAGGCTCGGTTTTTCGTGTATTTTTCTCAGATAAAGGATCTAACGGGATGGAGGTTGCGCTTCAAATGACTTTACGATCGTTCACCGTCAGCTCTGGACTCGAGTTAATTTACTGGAGAAAAGAATTTGAGGGTTGTTGGACTGAGAGGGAGTTATCAGAGACATGATGGGGATTGCGGATGCTTGCGAGGACTCAGGAGGGGTTTATACTTGTGAATAGTATAAAGCGAAGGGTTACCATTTACAAAACACTACAGGCGATACCTAGATAACCAGTGACGTTCAACTAGCACTACGTCAATGTAGATACATACTTCAGATATTGGGTTTGGGACACCAAAAAGCATTACCACGAGTCAAATTTATTGAATACACGGTATCCGTAACATTGAGCGTCCGAATGTTGTATGCGATACATTGATTTTCTCTAGATAATGTTCTACTACAAGCTATTCCAGAATTTATAACCAAACAATCTCTACTTCTTTTTCAAAATCATGCTTGCAACGAACCGTCAGAATGTTGTCTGTAACCTCCCTTTTCCAGTGATTGCGTACGGTGTCCAGGCCAGGGCGACAAAACCGTCTCATGAGGAAACATATATAAATCTGTTCTGCTTTTAACTTTCCTTTCGTAGCGTCATCGTGGTCATGGTAGTTAACAATTCCGATCGCCCATTCTGTCGTAGATGCAGGTGGGAAGAAAGGAGATTGCACGACCAGCTTGTCGAGAGGTGATGCCATGAGGTCACCAGCGGGACCGGAAACGAATACCGACTGCCAGAGGCTCTGGTCAATGGAGACAGGGACCATGAATAGCTTGACCTGCACGCCACGCTTTGTGATTGAGAAGTCGTCATCACCACAACCCTCTCCCCACCACGAGATCTCGTGGTTCTTGAGTATCTCCAGTGCTGCTTCGTCTGTTGTGCGATAACAGGAAGGTTCTGTTGGACGACCAGGAAGTCCACCGGCCCATACAAGAATTTGCCATTCCTTGCATTTCTCGATAAGCTCTGCCATGAATCTTTTGAACGCTCGATCTCCTTCTCCATATGCAACCGTCATGGTGATATCGAAGATGCCGGTAAGAGAGTAGGCAACATCTTCAATACGAGTTGTCTTCCGATTTGCTGCCCAGCTCATCTTCTCCCAGGCACGATTTGGCCCGGAGCGAAAATTGCGTAGGTCGTTTTCAGGGATCTTGGTAGCGCGATGAAGAGCCTGAACAACCTTTGCGTCATCTTTGTCGTTGGGATTCTGTGTAAGGGGCGTCCAAGTAGGACCATAATAAAACCTCATCCTAAGGGGTGCAAGAAGCTCCTGCAACGTCCAGCCACGAAAGAACCACTCGTCATTTTCCAGGGTATCCCACGAATTTGTCTGAGCCAGATGCACTATGCAAATATAGGCCTCGCGGTACCACATATACATCGACCGAATTGCTTCGTCGAGCTCTGAGCTGCTTTCCTTGTTTATGCAGCAGGTATCAGACCATGCGAGATCACAGCCATACTCCTTGGCTTTTGCGCATAACTTCTCCAGTTTCTTGTAACCCGCCCCTTCGCGTTTCATGTCTTGAAATGTCGGCTCAGATTCTCCCCATCGGTGTGATAGAATGGCATATTTGAGCAGGTCGATCACAGCCGACTCTATGGCAGATTGCCTCGACCATCTCCCACACCGACGGATATCCTCCTCGGTGATCGTCTCTGGTTTCAGTATTGTAATGAGTTTGTCCCGCGAGATCAATTCCATGGTTGGGATATGGATCAAATGCGATGGAACCAGATCAAAAGCACGTCGTTTGAACTCAGCCATGACATCAGGAATGCCCTTGCCATGATCGTGTTGATCGACAGGAGGAATGCCTTTGCCGTGATCATGCTGATATAGCGATCAGCTTGCGTATCAGTACGTATTCAGCAGACGTACCACCACAACTTTCGCAGTCTGTGGGATTCCTGCCCTTAGTGCTTCACGTACAAAGGCTAGTGTCTGATCTGCGGAAGGGCGATCTGCTGGCGGAAAAGAGAAACATTTTCGAAGGAAGGATGAATCTTGGGCGTGATCCTCGATTACTGGTGGTAGTGGGGGCACCTTTTTTGCAAGTAATTGAAGGGGAATGTGGTTAGATCGAATGGACCACCAGGGCAACTGCCCAGAGAGCACCTGAGATGGCTCTTAGATATATAATATAGATTTTGATCTCGACGGATGAGTTGACGTACATGAATCATGTTGCAGCCAAAAGACCATACATCACTTTTGGAAGTGGGAAAGGTCTCTTCTTCGTCATCAACCAACTCGGGAGCTATCCAGCGAATAGTGGCTGAACGTATCGAGTCACCATACTCCGATCTGGACTCGATCTCATCGAGCCTCTTGGAAAGCCCGACGCCCGTGACAAAAGCACGCCCATACGAATCAACCAAAATGTTGTCCTGACGCACCAGCATATCGGAGATAATTAGTGCTCGTCTTCCCTATTGATTTCGGTAAGAACTCACACCTGTTAGATCTCCGTGAACCACTGCGATAGCATGCACTAGGATACAAAAACCACTTGAGTGCCCAAACTTTTGTAAATGAGTGTAGATTTACAATATTGCAGTGCCAAGGCAATGTCTTGCAGCTGAACATACGGAGATTCGTTTGCACATGGATCTGATCATAATCAGAGGAACCCACCAAGCGAAAACGTTCGCCACGCTCTAAGGACTCGTGTTCGCGCAAGAAGTTTGTTAAGTTCCCATTCTCCATCCAGGGAAACACAAGGCTAGGTAAATGACCATGTCCACATACATATCCGAGGACAGGCAGAATATGTTCGTTCTGAAGTCTGCCCCATACTCTTATTTCTTGTAGTAATTCATCGTATCTTCCGGTGAGATCCAAGATGTTCTTAGGTTGCAGTACCCTAGTAACCTTCACTGCGACCGTGACCTGAAGATATGAGAATTATCAGTTCATACCGATTGTTTGATTAATACATACTGGAGAAAAATTCGGTCGGTCCCAGGTGCACTTGCAGATATGATACTTATGGCTATTAGTGGCCTCGGCATGTTCACACTTGACTATGCACCCAGTAAGATCAGGAATGCAACTGAGGCATGGAGATTCAGTGATTGGTTTCTATAAGACAGAGACAGCGCGCACGTAGGAATGTCGAACAGTTTTGACATAGATTCAGGCGAGAAATCCGATGCGATAGTTTGCAGGAAGCCTGAGTGCATCTTCAGACTGCAGTAAGCATGCGGCAGTTTCCGTCCAATCGCACAAGCGTGAAATGTCGGCCGGTCTTGGTTGGGTATTGGTCAAGTATTGGTACGAGTTTATGCGGACTTCACTGCCAGTGGATGAGTGATACCCAGATTTTCCCAGCGAGTCCCCTACCGTTCGCACGGCGAGCCGGGTAACCCAGACTTGTACCCGGACGTACACCTGAAGTCCAACATAGACTTGTACCAAGACCGGCGAGAATTCCGACATTCACGTTTTTGGTTCGACGTCGATTTGAAAACAACGAAACGCAGCTTTGCAAATTGAACGTCCCTTTTAAAAATTCAAAATTTAAAATCATCGTCCGTGTCATGTTCTACTAGCACCAAACTGCTCGTACTCATCAAGTATGTCCGGGCGTTCTCCCAGGTAAACACCCCAAACAGACGTTTCAAGTCGGTGTCCGGTAATCAATCAGCAAACGGACATCATCTTCCAATTTCATTTCGGTAATTGAAGCATGATTGTGGTATATCTAGCATGGATGCCATCATCATACGTCCACCGAGTTCGCCTCTCACCCACCCATCCTCTACCAAATATGACCATAGTCTTAGATGATCCTACTTGGTGGCCGACCATCAATGCAAATCGTTTTCTTAGCTATTTTTTAGGTTCGTGGAGAGCAGGTGGAGCTGTCTCGATCTAACCTTGAGTGCTGCCGCTGCTGCGGTTTCGCAGTTGCCGCCTTTGTTGGAGTGACGTACGATTGGAGTGAGCATGATAATATTAAAGGACTGCTGATATTTTATAATATTTTCAGCACTTACATTCGGACAAGAGGTATGTTGATGCTATGACCGGAGCAGCCAACATTCTTGCTAAGGATGGTTTTATAGGTCGAACTGATATGGGTGAGTACTAAGTAGATTCTCATGTCAGAGGACTGCATATGAAAGTATACTTATGAACAGACGCGACGTTGGTCCCTAATGACAGTTCTGTATTTCAGTGTATGTGGCTTGTTTGTCGTGGTAATCATGTGTGTTGACTTGAAAGTATCCTAGTTGCGCTGCCTTGGAATCTTATTTCCTGTGTATGTTTGGAAGGCTAAACAGTCGACGTTGGGCTAATCGTCTATCTCTCATAATCAGCCTGAACATGCTGGGTATGTCCCTTTAGTACACATTCGCTGTCTTTGCTTTTCCGACTAATAGCATACAGTCAGTGTTCCGACCATCCCAATGACAGATACAGTGAGTCTTCTGTATAGCTGCCTAGTCGTAGTCCCCTCCAATTAACTGCGGTTCCCTTTAGGGGTGAGTGTAGTTCATTTACTTCTTGGTTCACTAATGACTGCCACGCTATACTGCCACAGATGTGAGTCTGTCAAGTTGGAGTGTGTTACACGAGGCTGGTCACTGACTGTATTTCTCAGGCTGGATTGTATACGATAGCTATAATTGGGCGGGTGTTCTTACATTGACAATCCTATGGAGTGAGTTTAGCGCTTGCGAGACTTCAGTGATATCGACTTAACTGAAACATGCGACAAGTCATCATCATCACTCGATTGCATGCTATGTATCAACGATCCAGAAAGATCCTGATATTTCTCATTGTCACCTTCCTGGCTGTCAACATTTTCAACCAAGTGGCAACCCTAATGACAACAATACATGTTTCAAGCGGTACGTTTAATTGTGGATGAAAACAAACGTACATGGGGCTCATTGTTGAATACTAGAGGAACTTGTTCTCTCCGGCACTTATCAATGCTCGATTGTCCCTGCGAAAGATGTCGTACTTCTGGATTCTGTTGGTTGGATACTCAGTATTGCATGGGAGGTTCTCGCACTGTGTCTCGCAATTTGGACTGCTGTAGAACACTTCCGTGAACTGCGACGACATGCGGCAGGAGGGATTCTAGAGGACTGTTTCACAGTGTTGATGAAAACGCACGTGGTTTACTTTGCGAGGTGAGCTCATATTGTGATATTGTTCCTTTTTTCGCTGAAGAACCGGACATGCCAGTTTTGTTGCTGTTTCTTGCTTGCAACTCGTTATTGACTTTTCTCCAACATACTCAACGGTATGTCAATCTTTCACTTGCCTCTGCGTGCTACTATGATTTATCGTGTAAATAGGACCAACCTTCCCTGGACGCTCAGTTTTATGCTGGGTTTCTCCACATTTTGGAGGTTGTGCAGATGTTTGTGCTGGGACCCCGCCTGATCCTTAGCATTCGAGAATATCACGCTAAACTCGTGGCAGACTCCGACACAGCAACTGGCATGACCTCAATTGCTTTCCAAGAGCACGTGCATATTTCGACCGGGAGTCGTGTGTGATGTTCGGAGAACTCAACGGTTTGTCAACTGATCTACAGAGAACAGGGGAATTTGCTACTTTCGTGATGACGTTGATTGATGTTCCGAAGTAGATTTCAAGGAGATATAGATCTGCTGGGTAGTATTTATTTAAATGATTTGCTTTACGTCGTGCTGACAATATTAATGTGTAATCCATCAATATCCTGGAAGTTCTCTACTGGCACTAACTGCCCAGGTATACCACACTTGCACCAACCACTGGTCCTTCTTTTCCCTATGTGTAGGCAATCATTCCTCCCATTACTTGAGCAAAGGGCAAGCGAGAGCGAGTGGCAATGCACTGTTTCAATCCCTCAGCAACCCGTCCTTAATCCGTCCTCAATCTGTCTTCTCGCCTCATTTGACGTCCCAACCTTGTCTCCGCACCTGACTCACGCCAACTACTAGTAGCTTACAGAATAGTGACTGAAGATGATTACAATGTGCGCGAAGCACGTTCGTTTATTAATGCTTATGGAGGAGCTTGCCTTTCACTTTTGTTCGAAAATACGGATATAAATATGAATTTATATAGGATTGTTACTGAAGCTGAAGAAGCACTGCTTGTGATGTATCATATTAAGCATGGGATGAAGGCCGTGAGTAAGCTTGGATGAAAGAAGATATTCCTGCGTCCTTTCTTTAGCTAAGAGCGAGCGCCTTTGTGGAGTCGGGGAATATGAAGAAACCCAGGTTACCGTGACTAACGTCTGAGCATCGCCCACCAAACGTGAAAGTGGATTTTGAGGTGGTTCCAAACGATGATAACGACGCATCTAGGAATGAATATACAGGCACCAGTACCAGCGATGGTGCAGGAGTCGAGCATCTGCTGCTTAATGTGGACGTGATAGCGAGGTTGAACAGTGAATGGTCAATCTCGATGTAGCTGGAGACCTGCGGGACATGGTAGGACTTGGAAAGCGCATGCGAGAGTGCTCCAGGTCGCAGGTGATACTCTAAGCTCGAGAGAAGCTTCGAAGGTTCCATGATCTTTGAAGTACGCTATATTATGAATTGTCACATTGACTTGAAAGTACGCAGAAGTAATAAAATATTTCATAAAAATGGAAGAGGTGCTCTGCCACCTCGATCTTACTGGAAAGCCAACCTAAGTAATTTCAATCCCTTACACTTGCCAATGATACTGGCATTGAAAACTTCGAAGGAAATTCGGAAGGGTATGGTCAGCAGCTTGTTGACCTGGCAGGAGACATGGTAGAGGTCTGAAAAGCCCTGGGATTTGGATCGACATACATGTCAGAGAAAACCGCACGAATTTTATGCACCGTGAAGCCTTGGTTTGGGATTCTGGACTAGCTCTGAAACAGATGGTTGTGATCTTGAGGAGAAGAGCTGCGGTACGGTGTGGCCCGCAACTCTATGATTGTGTACCAATTTCTCACAGTATAGGAGCAAATCCTTGTATTGTTTCCACGAGACTAACAAGACCTCGACAAAGGGCCAATTGATGGCATATCCCGAACTTTCAATCTGTTTATTTCAGATGGCCTGTGACAGGCGATTCGAATTCTGGTTGTAGGAGGGTCGGGAAAACATCCCAGCTTCAGCCTCCAACCTCAACAAGCGGCAAGCGACAGCATTTCGGAAGAGGTCTGGCCCTATGATATCTGCGGCCTGCCCCTACGCAGCAGAAGAATTCACACATGCACATTTTCGAAGTTCCGGCAAGTACAGAGGTCGCCACCCAAATCGAAGTTGATCAACAAGACCGTGACTTCTATCTTCTTCACAATGTGTTGATGAACATGAAGGCCGAAAACGAACAGTGAGTGTTCCTTCCTCCCTAACATTCCTCGGCAGGTAGACTTCCATCTGGACTGAGCCAACCAATGTTGCGGCGGATGGCATGTTTTTGTTTTGATTCTCCTGTCTACGGTTATAGAAAGTATCTGGTCTTCTGTCACCTTCGCCGCGGAGGAAGTCATAAAGAGGACTTACATCACGAAAACATCATGGCTTGAAGCCTTCCGAGTCGTGCACCTGGATAGGAGGAATTCTGGTCTGTTCACGTCGTGGAGAACGTTCGGCTCCCGTGTCCGGTCCTTTATAATTCTTCATGTTCCAATTCTTGTACCACTATGTACTCTTTGTTATTCAAAGTCGATACGATATCACTGTCGCTTGGTTTAACGGCAGCGCTAGCCGTAGTGCTGTGTTTTAAGTCGACCCACGTTATGGCTCTGTCCTCTACCATCCCAAATCCTACTAGTACGCAACCTGACTCTGAGAAATGCTTACGCGGCATCCCAGCGCATGTACTTAAGCGCCTCACTCCAAAGTCTAGAGCATGCGTCGAGCGTCTGAGGACATGTCGATTGGATAGACCTGACCTGTAAGTCCCATCGCTCATCTTTTGCTTTACCGCCCATGGACGCGCATGCAGCTCTCGACAACCAACTTCCAAACTCGCAGCTGTGCTTGTTCTGTTGTACGAGCAAGCTGGAGAGCTTAGGGTCTTGTTGACGACACGGTCCAAGTCACTCCGTGCACATCCAGGACAGACAGCGTTACCTGGTGGGAAGGCAGATGAAGGAGATGGAAGTTTAGTCTGGACTGCTGTAAGTGCTACGGTTAATTATGAGTTCGCTCATTCATATATAATTCATGCTTATATATGCTTTCATGCAACTCAGCTTCGCGAAGCAAATGAAGAAGTCGGTCTTCCTCTTCCGCCCACATCGTCAAACATACATTTTATCACGACACTCCCGCCTTTTCTCTCTGCATCGCAGTTGTTGGTGACGCCTGTTGTCGTGCTTTTATCTTTGCCGCTTCCGAGTCAACTCGTTAGTTCCTCACCGTCATCCTCAACTTTGAACAGCTCCCCGAATGCAAGCCCCAACACACCACCCAACTCCTCTTCACACCCATTCCTCACTTCCCTAACACCCTCTCTCACAGAAGTCGATAGGATATTCGATCACCCACTCGAAGCGATATTGGACCCTCGTATCTTGTCGAACAAGGGGGAGATGCTCGTGGATGTGGGAGAGGACTGGCCATATAATGCTGGGGATTTGTATGTGAGTTATCGGCTTTTTACCGTGTGCTTTTCATTCCGAGTTGCAACGAAAGTCTCGTTGCTGTCTTGTTACATCCACCCTTTCCTCATTTCGTGCTAATCCCTCTTGTCACGCAGAACCCGTCCGACGTCCGCCTCGACGCATTTGATGGACTTATATATAGGATGCACCGGTTCAGAACATGCGCATCTCCTATAAAGGGGCTTACAGCTGATATCTTGGTACGTCTTTCTCTTTCTCTCTTGTGACATACTCCCTTCTCCCGATCAGTCACACTTAGCGCTAATCCCCTACACAGATCACAGTCGCTGAACTTGCATACGAGCGCAAACCCGTCTACGGACGATACCCACCTGATTCAAGTTCTGGGTCATCCCTTGAAGACAGGAACTCGGAAGGGGGGGCGTATCAAGCACTTGTGAGGAGGCGTGTGGAAGAGAACGAGAGGGCTTTTGAGATTGCTGTTGAGGAAGGCAAGCAGACGCGATTGACAGCAAAGGCGGATGGGGCTACTGGGAGCGCATTTCTGGCAGGTGCATGATCTCATTCTCTCCGTTTTAGATTGACTGGTGAAGATATGCTAATCACCATAGACATAGTGACTAGGATTGGTGCCGTAGTATAATCTGTAGATATCATAATCACTAGTTCTATACGTGCTCTACACATGCACATATATCATAGATGGTATGATCCGACTTGAAACGCATCATTCCCACCGAAAGGTATTCGACAATCCCCCAAGCTTCAGTACAGTTTTAGAGATGCAATGCAAATGGTCCATGGATGATCGATGATACACAATCCAACGACATCGAGCCTATTATAAGCGCTAACGAGGAGAGCAATTGTAAATATGCTGCGAGGTATATATCCGCGCGTAAACATCAACCATATACATAAATATGACCAGTCCAGTCCACCACCACGATACGGGATACATTATCGGTACCCAGTATACGGCTCATAACTGGATTTCGTCGGAGCCGGCGCACCCGTACCTGTGCTCGTCGCCAGCGACGCCCGCACAGCAGCATACGGATCCGCATACTGCATCGTCCTACTCACCTTCGGCGCCCCAGACCCAGAATCTGAGGCAGTGGGAGCATAAGATGCGGACACGCCCCCGAACCCACTCGGTGCAGGGTCTGAAAATGCGCCATATGCGTCCATACTAGGTCTCGAGGCAGCGTAACCCATGTTCGTGCTTGTAGTAGGAGCGGTAGTAGTAGTGGGTGCAGTCGAATATGCAGATGTGCGATTAGCACTCGAGTCTGCTGTTGAGAAACGGTTTGTGTTGGTTGGGGGGAGATAGGTTGTACTGGTGTTGGTGGGGGCGGTTGAGAGGCGGTTGGAGTCTGCGAATGGGGATGCGGAGGAATCAGAGTTATCGTATGTTGATTGACGGGGGTATGTGGGAACTGTGTTGGTGGCGACGGGTTGGTATGAGTGTTCGCCTTCTTCTTCTACTTCTTCGGCTTCTTCGATGTCTGCGTCGGGACGCGTGAATGGGGGGTCGCGGGGTGGTGATGTAAGGTTTCCGGAGCGCCAGTCGATGATAAGCAAGATAAAGGATGCAAGCCAGAAGCCTGGAGTGACAGCGTGAGATAAAAGAATGGGTTAGAATATGACGCGGAAACGTACCAAACGCTAGCCAAAAGAATATAGCACCCGCTTTCTTCGTACTGCACCAACCAGGGAGAGCGCTCGTAAACGCGTCGCCAAGGCTCGCATGAGGATCGTCAGCCGCGTTTTTGCAACCAGGCTCTGTCCACGCTGAGATTGTGGTGATGAATCTGTACAGCCTGAGGTGAGGACTGGAATAAGGGGTGCTAAGATGAATACGCACGCGATGAGGAGGCTGAAGATGCAGCCGCTGCCAACGAGGATGAAGCCGACGCGTACTTCTTTGAGAGTGCGAGCTAGACGGATGAGTTTGTCGTATTTTTCGTATACAACGGGTACAAAGAGGAGGAATAGGGATAGGAATATTCCTGTGACGCTCACAAAGATCGCGAATCCTGAGAGACCCGCTGCGGAGTGTCAATATGGTTTGCAACGGTGGCGGCGATGAACTTACAAGGCCCCACTCCCCACTTTGCTTGGAAACTGGCTACGCTTGCAAAGCAAGCCATTGCGAGAAAGTTGAAGAATATCTGGGAAATGTGAAATATAATGGCAGGCTTGCTTATAATCATCTATAAGGCGGAAAAGGTGTCAGCATGATTGATAGAACGTTGTAAGTAAATATCAATGACCGCCAGCCAAACGATCCATAAAAGGGGCAAGAAAAGGAGGAAGACCAGTGTTCCAGACTGATCCATGAAGAGGCATAGAGGGAAGTTAGGTATATTACGTAAATGGTTGAAGTCGAAGCGCATAGAGCGGGACAAGGACAAAGTCGGCTGGCGTTTGCTGGCAGGTACTGCAGGGCTACCAGATAATAATCAAAGACTCACGTCGTCCTCATAGTTAACCATTCCAAGCCCATTTCCTATCCCAACTGCTGCTGGTACTGCGCTAGTTTTTGACCTCCTTGGTAACATGCGGTCAAGGGCATTTTGAAGCGTATCTATGAATGACATCTTGGATGTGGTATAGCAAGTGAATTTAGATGATATAGGATGGATATGAATGGTATGTCAGTGGTATGTCAGTGCTTTTCTGGTCGACCGCAGTCGCAGTGATCGCAGTAGATACTTGAGCGCGCTGTGGCTCTTGATCATCGCCTACCCACGTGCTATTTGCTTACGTTAACACTGACACATAGTTACTGCCAGTACTTGCTTTCAACCACTCACTACACTAACCACTAACTACGACTACTGACGAGCATTTAGGATTATGAGCATCGACTAAATGTAAAGTCAGTTCGAACCGTTTGTTGACTTTTGTTTCTCTACAGCATCTAAATCTAACATTAGTAAATAACCCGCCTGGCAGTGAACGCGAGGCAGGGCACGTGTTGGACAGCATATCAACCTGGCCTGGCGCCACAATGAATCTCCCCACATCTCAGATACCCTTCTTCATCGCCTGGTGCGCATTTTTTATCAAACACACAAATCATGTTTGCCTTGTCATCTCATGACGAGCCATACCGCGCTTCTCTTAGAGACAATCGCGGTATTCCTACTCTCCTCTCCCCTTGGGAGTACCTTGACGACTATGGTAATTGTTCACCCTTCAGGATGCGACGTCTGCTCTTCATACATGAAGCATGTCGCTGATGCAAGTTATTCCTCACATCAGCCAGCTTTCCAAATCGCCTTCCAAGACAGGAAGCGCACGCGCGAAGACCTCTTTAACAAGGGCATATCAGAGGGCATCCGCCGTCAAAAAGACGAAAACAGAGTCCTCGTCGACGATATAGATCGTTATCGCCTTGAGCGTAACCAAGCTCGTGAAGAGTTATCCACTCTACGTGCTCAGTTAGACGCAACACGTGCAGAATCAGAGCGTTTACAGGACAAGCTCAGACAACAAACTGCCCTCCCAGCCGATGTCTCTAGTCCTATCGAATCCGTCTCCTTTCATTCTTCTGTAAAGTCTCTTCAACTAGTCCCCCCTGCAGATCCACCATCTGATCTTCGCCTCAACGAACCTCCCGTTGATCACCAGCTCTCCCTCGACTTTTTGACTCCCCTGTATCCTCAACAGTTGTCTCCTCCAATGACAACCCCTGCTTCCCCTCAAGCGCAGCTGCCCGACTGCGTCGCAGCTCGCTCATTTGCTGCCGTATTGGCAACAGGTCAGCCAGATGACGACTCAGCTTTCCAAGCTACATCATCAGATGACGCCCCTCCAACACTCGGTTGGACAGTCGTAGCCCCATCTACTCATAAACCCACGAAGCCCGCCAAGAGCATCAAACAAGTCCAATCCCTCATTAAAGCCGCACACCAGCCCGGCAACTACAGCGCCCTTACAAAAGTTAAAGCCCTCTGCTCAGAAGCACACAAAACACCCAGAGACCAAAAGACTGAAGTTCAACGTTACTTGTTATCCAACTGGCGGACTCCTGATTGGGAACACCCCTCATCACTCCCAAAGCTACCTGCCCCCTTAAATAACCCTCGTCTGGAGGATCCCGTCGAGTGTTGGGTATCATACTACACCGCCAACCCCAGTTCCTGCCCGAAGGGCATCCGCCGTGAACCCGACGGCCGTCCCACCCTCTCCGACATGAGAGCTAGTCGAACCGTAGCTCGCCTTCGCCCCATAGTCAACCCGAGCGATCCCGAATCCCGCGAAGCCCGTCAAAAATACATGACAGTCGTCACAGAGCTTTTCTCTGAGCGCGGCGAATACTCTAGCATTCTCCGGAGAGCTGCATTCAGCGTCTCTCCCCACGTCTGCTATGCGCCGTTTGTGGGCGTGGCAGATGAGATTGACAGGTTGTCTATTGCACGTCATTTTGCGGCTTGTGGGGTGACTATTCCTGTTGCTGAGGATGAGCTTGGGCCGTGGGCGATGGAGTATCTTCGCGAGTAGCGGGGAAAGGGATCATATCTGAGTTGTTCCGCATCGTCATGATCATACTTTACACGTACCAGACATCTGGTTAGGAATCTGCATACATATATCCCATCCTCGAAGTCGTACAATTCACACTTAATTGCGGACGTATGTATAGAATGATATTCAGATTGCGAGGATCTTCCGAGTCGTACATAGTGTATTTCCGATTATTAGTCGCTTGTTTGTAGACTTGTACAGTGCTTTATATCTAATCAACGTGACTTGTTTTCAACGTGCGCGATAAACCTGTTCAAGTTCAAATACTATACTTGTTGACCCTTTGCCAAGGCCATATTCTGGTCTTCGGTCTTTGCATGCAACCTGAGCTATCCTATTCCTCAGAAAAGGGTCTGAAGGTCCGGTAGAGCCCATATTGCATGTCAGAGCTTTCTAGTCCACGCATCACGCTCAGCGCAAGCAAAGCAGCATTGTTTTACCAGCAGGTTGTAGGTGGCACGGAAAGCCATGAACCCATCACAAATGAAACGACTTCAGGTTGGCTGAAATTCATCATCCCAAAAAGGCTTGTCCACAAGTTCTGTATCGATTTTCACAGACTAGATGCAAATATGGGCCATGGCCTTGCCGATCTTCACATACATATAGCTCTCCGAGTCCCTGTCACACACGCCTCGAAGTTATCTGTAAGTTTCGGCGACTATTCATTGAGAGGTACAATTACAACTGCAACCTATTCATCAACCCGAGTGGACAAGCTGGAAAAACGCATACATTCTCATAAAACCCTTGAAGCTGGAGGGGAGCAAGAAAGGTTAAAGGGACAGCATCCAGCTTGTACCTTCCAAAGGTAGCATGGAATTTGACATACCCATCGAAAAACGCGGCATAGGCGTCATGGACCTCAGGACGCGGTTTCAAGAATTCGAGGATACTGTGATGAGCTTTCATAGTTTTCTCGATGAGTTCGCTGAGAGCTTCCTGTTTGGTAAGGCCGCGAGAGGCTGTTATGAGCGACAGGTAGTTTGCAGAGTCGCCTTCAATCTCTTCTTTGTAGTATGACAATATATCACTGAATCATGGCGAGTTAGAAAGGCTAACAGCTCGAGAAAATGTAGTATTCACTTTGTGTGGTTTATGACTATAGCCAGATCGGGCATGCATTGGACGTATTCCCGAAGCGGGACTGTTGAAGGGAAAATGTAGTACGCATACGCATACTCCACGCCTGACAGCAGCCTAGCGTATTCGGGGTATGAAGGATTCTGCCGGGAGATCTGTTCACACAAAAGGTTAAAGCTTGAAGCCGCCTTTATTGGAGAAATACCATACCGGCATATCTTTGGTCTCAATGTCAAGTAAAAGGGAAGACACAAAGTCGAGCGAGGACGTGACGACAAAATTTGACACTGGTGCAGAATGATGGCAAGTGACCTCCCGTAAGAGCCCGTCAAGCGCATTCATAAGCGGGTGTCCCTGTGGCTGGCAATTCACGAACTGCTCATTGAAGCGGTACGCATGCACCATATACTCTGGCGTGATCATCTTGTCGTCGATGCAAGCCAATAGGGTGGTGAAGAGGCACATCCACATCTTTGATGCACGGTCCGGGAGGTGGTCGTAAGCGTTAGACACCATGGCCACCCCAACGGCTATGTATGGGAGAATGTCGTCCATTGGATAGCCGCGCTTGATGACCTCCTGATAGCATTCGGAGCACCACGCTTCGTCAAGCGGGATTTTCTTATATTGCAAGCCGCAACGCTGAAGAAATTCGGCGATGGACTGGCGTATGTTTGCTAGAACCTATGTTCGATATTAAAATCGAGACATGGAGGCGTATCAAAACCAAAACACAAACACATACTTTGCCATCGAGGGTAGATGTGGACAGGTTGTTCGTCGTCATCGTGAAGACTTGTAGAGAAATTGGAGATTGGCGAGAGAATGGATCCTATGGGCTGCGTGTACCTATTTATACTCCATGATGTATGTTGATTTATTGACAATCGACTCGGAGGGTCTTGTATTATGTCCGGAAACTTCGTGCCTGATGTAATCTCTTCGGAGGGATTAACTGGATAAGATACTATCAGATAGGCCGCCAACGAATCGAGTGGATGTGGTCCTTTCGAAGCAGCAACATTGGGAGCTTGAAACCTAGGTAAGCATGCAGATAAACATATCTCTAACTCCAATCCCAATTCGAGAAAGCGTAATTTTTTTTTAGATTGCTGGGCCGCAGTAATATCAGGGATGAAAAAACTGCACGCTTTGAGTCCGTTGACCAAGGGGAATGTAACTGCCGAAGTAGTGGAACTGAAATCAGTGGCACGCAGCTATCGCGACGCCATCTGACGCTTTATGGACCTAGCTCTAGACGCAGGTAGGACAGCGAAGCAGGTCTGCATGATGCAAATATATGGTAAGGACACCATAACTGCAGGTCCTTGCGACATGTAATAGGGAAAATACGGCAGTCATGCGAATTTGCCCTAGAACAATCCTATTCTTCGTCCAATGATTAGTCTGAATACTTGCCCGACTGATAGACATCTTTTCGTAACAGAAATTCTTCAATAAGCGCAAAGACTCGCTTGATAATCACGGCACCTATCCATGAAGGAACGACGGTGTTCTTTAAGGTTTGACTACGAGAGACTGGTGCTCGCCTTGGGTGCCAACATTATGTAACTTGTGCTGGTGAATTTGACCTCGCGGCGGATGATCTCTGCAATTAGCGGCGTTTAGTTTGGCCTCAGACCGAATTTACAGAACACTAACCAAACATCGTCGCAATCTCTCGGTCGAAAACGACTTTCGAACGCAACATATTCGTAGATCTATATCAAGATGCATCGAAGTAAAACCGAAAAGGCTGGGAGGGCTGGGCGAGTGCATGTATCATCACGACCCTGGTGAATGAAGTCCACACTGAGAAGAGCGAGTACGACGGACCACCTTAGAAGCATACCATACGGCACACTTGGTCAGTTGTTATTTTTTTCAGTGTCGTTTGCAGGAAATATGTCAGCTTACGTGGCAAGATCTGCTTAGCGCGCTTCATGGATAGAGTGTGACCGGGTGCTAGAGCACCTCTGCCAGTGGTAGTATCATGACGAGCGTCGCGGGATGTTCGTGATCTTGTCGGAGACTCGCAGGTACTATATCCCTAATTTGTTATCGCACAGCGATCTCAAGTCAAAACCCTGACACTGCCGATGTGTAAGGTAATGAAGGATCATATGTGACCCGGAAATTAGGCCCGAACAGATAGGAAACCAATTGTGCTCGAGCTTAGCTTATCCTCCAAACCAAATATGCCGAGTCAAGCCCACGAAGCGAACGCAGGTCTATTATAAGTGTGGGGGCGACGCAAAAGATCACTGTCGTGCAAGGTCCTTTGGTCTTGTGACAATCAATCAATCAAGAACCTGGTGTGAGGGAAGAAAATCTCCATGCTAGTCGCGGATTACTGGCATTAATATTCGGTCATACTGTAGAGTTGTAGCTTCGCGCCCTTTTGGGTGTGACCATGTCACACTTAGCTTCGCAGCTTTGTAGGCCCTTGTGACGTGTGACCTATCCAAATTAGCTTCGCCCCGACCAAATGTTCAAGTCGCAACCCGACTCGGTGCAACAATCTTCTCTCTTCCTTTTGGTGGTGACATGGACCACAGATCCTCACGTTGTTTCCCTCCGCCATGGGAGGACCCCGACTGCTCCCTATATTGCATGTCCACCGGTAGTGCCTCGCAAGTCCTCGAAATTACCCATCCTATGCTCCTAAAAGTGCGCCTCCCAAGCCTGTAGCGCATACCCCATGTCCATTGGTAGCGCCTCGAGAGGCCGTGAATCCATGCTAATATTAGTACACTGACCAACTTAGTTGCCTGGTTTTCCTAAACAGACGCTGGAATTCACCATGTAGCTATGTTTACTGACATATGGTACACTTGCTGACGCTCCAGCATTCTGCAGACCACTGGGAGGAGCTTCATGCTCCCGTTCATGCCATCTTTGGTTGGGGACAAGAAGGAGGCCTACTATCTTTGAAATTGAGTCAGGCAGATTTTCTCCTTATACACAACTTTCTGCATACCTTTGCCCATGTTGAGCAAGATGTCGGAGAAGGATCCTGTCTGTCTGCAATGGTTCCTTGAATGGAAACAGCACTTGAGCTCTGGTGAGTTATCATTTTGTCAGGTGACAGCAACTCATCACTCACCGAACAATTGTAGTCAAAAGGCTCCTCGGTCACCTGCACATGAGTCGTTGACGTGTGCTACAAGCCATGGAAACCAGTTGGTATTGCACCCCTCTCATACCACCAGCACGGCATCATCCACGAAGTGTGTGGATAACCAGACAAAGGAGTGTATTGAGATTTTGGAGAGTGACGAGTCAGACGCCCACACTGATGATGAACAGCAAGTATTGAATTAGTAACTCGAAAAATCAAAGACTAAAGTCCAAAAGAACGCACTGGAATTGAGTTCAGGCAGCTGCAGGCTCGAGAGTACAGCAGACGACCCCTGAACAATGAGTCATAATGCAGGCCAATATACCCATTGTCGCCGCCAACCCTGATCCATCAGAGTTGAACTTGTCATCATCCAAGTCCAACATGTCTACTATGGAGGCCAAGGTACATCTTGATCTCCATACACCAGATGAAGACGCCAATGGGGGATTGTTCAACTTTTTCTGGAAGATACCCCATGAACAGTATCTGAGGGAGGTTAATACCCCATTTGCCTGGGAGATCGAGCAGTGCGAACATGACAGTCATTTTCTGCATGTGCAGGAGCTTGAACGTGTTGAGCATAAACATCAGGGTGCCACTGAATGGAAAAGAAAGCAACGAGCAAGGGAGAAAGCAGTATGTATTAATTTGTTTAGTTATAGTACCATTTTTTAACGTGTGCTACAGGCTCAAAACTTAAATGATGCTTTGCACGATCAGGGAGAGGCTACATCATTGAATGTTGCAGAAGCCTCTCGTCCCTGGTGTGAATTGAAGTGAAAGCATCAGGAGGAACGACCAACAGACCAGGTTGGTCGTAAATGAACTCGAGAGCTGGAGCCTGCTATGAGGGTCAACTGGCAGAGCCCACTGTTGTGGGATACAATCCTACGTGCCGCTGCTTATTGTAGGATATGGCATGTCTCCGAAATCGATCGAGAGGGAGGTAAAGGTGCTAGACCCAGTGAAATTCAAGGCACTTACTCCACAGGTCATTGGCCAATGGATTGATCGTACTGGCACACGTCCAAGGTAGACTGACAAAGTTCTTGATCGCACTAAACATGGTGCTCGTCCAGAAGACACAATCACCCGCAAATCCATCCTTACTCCATATCCCAATGTCATCAGTGTCATTATCAAGGACCTCTGCACGCTTCGCAAAGCTGGGACTGCATTGGA